GCGCGCTTCTCGTCCGGTGAGCGACCCCCTTTAGACATAATAAAGTAGCCTAGGCTAATTCTTAGATTAACGGATTTGTTAAACACATTTATAAATAAAACGTTATCTTCGTTATCTCTAGGCCTACACTAAATTAAAGGCCTGTCTCATAGACGCCTGCCTCAAATACAAGCCGGTGCAGTTCGGCGATTTGGGAAAATAAAAGCCCGGGCTATTATTTGATGTTTTACAGTATATCGTGATATATATCGTTATCGGGATATGAGATGACTTCTATCGTGATATGAGATTTTGGTCATATCGCCCAGCCCTAATACCAGGTGTAAACAGGGCCTGTGTGTGTTATTTTTACATGCTTTAAAATGTTTGTAATTACTCCAATCTTTAGTGTCACATGATCCTTCAGAAATCATTCTGATATGCTGATTTGCTGCTTAAGTAACACTTATTATTATTATCAGTTAAAAACCAACGTGCTGTTTAATATTTTTGTGGAAACTTTTTTTTACAGAATTCTTTTAATCGAAAGCTAAAGAACAGAATTTGTTTGAAACGGATTTTTATCTAATAATGTGAAAGGTTTTAACTTTATTTAATGCATCCTTGCTGTAGGCTTGCCGCGATAGACGGTGTTGACGGTGTTACCGGTTTTAAGCCCCATCACCGGTGACATCACTTTCCCACCGTGACACCGCGATGTCTTGACTTTTTTAAAGTATTCGTTTTTGCTAAAATATTTATTTGAATTAATTAAAAATAATAATTATCAATTATTTAGTTCAGAAGAGAGCATACATTATAATTAAAAACTGAACTGCGCAGTGTGTGCCAAGAGCCAGTCACGTCACAGATCAGCAAGCATCAGGATTCCATTTAGCACGTGTGGAGATGAGAACGAGTCAAATTACAGAAAAGCAAGATAATGGCGGAATGTGTAATTTTTTTATTTTATTTATTTATCCTTTATTTTACCAGGTGATGTCCCGTTGAGATATTCAAATCTCTTTTACAAGGGAGCCCTGGGTCTAGGCCTGTTTTATTTTCTTATTCGTTAATAAACGTTTTATGGTTCTTATTTGTTTGGGCCCACAGTTTGACGATTTTCAGCCTATGCATGGGGTTATTTTTATTAGTTCGTTATGCTAATAAAAGTTCTGTCTATAAATAAAAGTTTTATTATCAGCGAGCCGAGTTGTTGTTTTTTGTCCATTCAAGCAATTGACGCTGAATTGCCAATTGACGCTTATTTCGAAAGTGAAAGTATAACGCGCACGCATTTAAAAGCTATTTAACCCCCCCGCCCCACCCCCCACGGTGACACTGGGATTACCGATTAACCGGTGGGAAATTTTCCTCACCGCGGCAACCCTACCTTGCTGTAGAAAAATATGTTTTTCTGTTAAAAAATCATACTGACATACTGACTAAAAATATTAATTATGATTAAGTAGGTTATTGTTCTTTTTAGTATTCAACAGTAAACATTTTTCTGTACTTGTTGCTTTAAACATTCTGTGTTTCTATTCAGATATAATGTCGTTAATGCTCGTCCAGCTCTAACTGCAAGACTTGTTGTGGTTTGGGGGAAGGGTCTCATGCAAGCTCAGAGTCTGTGCTGCACGCTGCCAAACCGTCACTCTCTAAATGAATGTTTTTGTGTGTGCGATTGCTAAAGAAAGTAAGAGTTTGTGTCTTCCCCAGAAGCTGGGACTCTGCTCAGTCAGTGCTGCCTCATATCAGGAAGCCTCTGACTCAGTGAGACAAAAACAATTTCATAAAGAAACGTACAGGATTACTCGCGAGGCTACTCGATGACATCATGAGAGAACTCTTGTGATTAACAGCACCACAACGCTGATCCCAGTTCTAGCTTGGGTATCTCTCTGTGATTGGTCTCACCTGTCACTAAGGCATTTTTGGGTAATAACAACCACATGCCTCTGTCTCCTGTAGGGAAAGCAGGCACAGGCGTAGAGACGGAGCATATGCATTTTTCATTTGTACAGTTGGCTCAGGGACAATTCCAATCGGTGCAAATGTACTGGACAGCCGTGTTAGGAAAACACAGAGTGATGCATTGTGGGTTTAGTTGAGCACTGTTTGGAAACCAGACTGGGAACTTGGGAGCAGCTGCCAGCTTTCCTGAGGTTGTCATTGGGTTGTCATGGCCGCCGTCATCGGACAATCAAAAACATGAATCTAACTTTGCTCTTTTATCAAAGCTGCGATTTGATTTTCTCCAGTTTATACCTAAACATCTAATCTGTGTGGTTTTTATTATTTTATTTTTGATTTTTATTTTATTTAAAAAAAATCACTTTTATAAAAAATTTTCTATTATATCAGATTATATTCTGCAATCAGAGTAGTATTTTTCTAGCAAGATTTAATACCAATTTTATACCTAAACACCCAATCTGTGTTCTAAAATATTATTGTTTTTAAATTGATGTTCTTTGATTTATTAATTTGATTGGGTTTTAAATGTAAACTTGTGGCTCAGTGGTTCATGTGGGTTGTCTACAAACCGGAAGGTTGGTGGTTCAATCCTCGGTTCCACCTGACCAAGTGTCGAGGTGTCCATGAGCAAGACACCTAACCCCGGCTGCTCCCGACGAGCTGGATGGCGCCTTGCATGGCTGCCGTCGCCCGTCGGTGTATGAATGAGTGTGTGAATGGGTGAATGTGAGGCAAATGTAAAGCGCTTTGGTGGCCATTGGGTCTGTGAAAGCGCTATATAAATGCATTCCATTCAATTTAAACCACTATCATTTATTTGAACTTATTAATTCACACAAACCAACCATTCACAAAAATGATTTCCCAACCCTAAGTGAATAAGAGTAGACTGTTTAGCAGAGTGCATTTAATCAACATTGTATGTGCAAAACTATACAATTGTGCTCAGAATGATAAAGACGGATAATATCATTTAAAGATGGATAGTATGATTAATTTCAGAACTTTGTCCATTCCATCATCGCCTGTATGTCATTGTATTTGTCATGTTGGCGAATCAGATATGATTAGATGTGAGCAGAGGTGTAGTAGTATAGGCTAGTTTGCCAGATAGTACAAGGTCAAAGTCACTAGAGCTTGTAACGGCGGTTTGGGAAAGGAGGTGCCACCGGCGAGTGTGAGCAGTCTGGGTGTAGCACACAACCCATTGAACTCATTCACGATTACACATATACCTACCTCTGGCTGCACTCTTGGCTGTAGAGGTTTGGTGGAGATCTCCTTCTTAAGATTCAGTAATCTGTCCTTTAGGTGTCTTGGAAAACATGCATTTTGTTCCTGCGATGCTTGAAATTTGATTTGTATACCCTGAAAAATCTGTTCGCCATGACGCACAGTTCATGCCCTGCAGTGATAGAAGAAAGGATAGGGAGGGAAGATTTTGGGAAACTGATAGCATGGAGACAGGATAATTGTCTAAGAATATCCACATCTTTATTTCGACTTCAGAACTGAGGGACTGTCACTCAGAAACCTTATTTTTAGTGTTACAGATGTACAGCTGCCATGTGTGTTTGTCCACCCCGTTTGCTCAAACCTCCTCCAGGAACTTGAGATGAAGCTCAGCTTGACACATCCTTCAAGGGCCAACATCTCCCCCAGTTCTCAGCGTGGTGTGACAGGGGGGACGTCATCGTGCAACTACTTATACCACAAGTGTGCATGGCCTGATTTAAAACGACAAGCTGAGCCTGGGGTCGTTGGAACTGAATCTAGGCATATTTTGCCCCAGCTTTCCATCCCTCGCTTTTTCGTTTGCTCACTGTGTACTGCATGGCTGTTCACGCTTCGGTGATTTCCATAAACTCTCATGGGTGTAGATTTTCTAGATTGGGATTATAAAAAGGGTCGCCATTGTTGAAGATTCGGTTATATGTGCAGAGGGCATGAATAAATAGGGAATAATTGCACATCATAGAAGAGACCAATAGTTATGCAATTCTTAAAGTCAGCTTGAAATTGAAATTGACCCCATTTACTTTGTATGTACTTTTTTCCTTGGCTTATTGATTCATCAGTACATGGTATTCCAAAGTAGTTTTTCTACAGACCCCTTTTCACAAATTTTGATAATTTAGTTTATAATAATGCATTTTTATATGAATTATGTATATTTTAAATAATAATTTATTAATGGCTATTACAAGCTCATGATACAAAAAATGTTTAGGTAAAATAGCATGAACTATTTTTAGTTGCCTTTTTACTGAAATGTATATTTAGTTTTTATTTAAAACGGAAGTTTCCCTCAATTTTGTTCATTGTTTAGGCCGCCCATAATGGTTTGGAATAGAGCTTTGCATTTTGCATTAGTGGTTTTTCATTACCCAGAGAACAACATCAGAATTGAATTGAATTGAATTAATTGGGCCTGGAAAGGCACAGTCTTCAGTGAGTGATTAGGATCCTTCAATATGCTCCCATAGTCTGTCAGTAATGCTTATATAGGTCATTGTGTTCACAGAGTGCCGTGCAAAGCCATTGAGGTGCCCTGCCCTCTACAGATAACACAACATTTGAGTCAGGGCTCCAAATGCATATTTACCCTGTAAACGGCAACGCTTTCTCAGTGAGAGACGGGCTGTTTGTGTTCAGGTCCACTGAGCAAAGTACAACTGATGACATGGATTCGCTCAGGATGTGTGATTGTGTGCAGAGCCGGCAGTTCCTAGTTCCCATTTGAGTGCGCTCGGGGTGATGACATGCTATTTTGGTCAGCTGTGAATTGGTGTTAGAATTTGGGGGATATTTAAAGTTTTTTATGTAGTTTTTATACTAAAAATACCATGGTACTGAATCCTGGTATATGTACAACATGGTGTTAATGGTATCATCATGATATCACATTAAAATAAACATGTTCTTATTTTATATTTTATTATATTATATTCTTATATTCTATTCTACATGTATTCTTATACATTAAGCTCTATTTTTCCATCTTTTTCCCATATGCACCCTCTCCTTGGATCAACTTGCAGCAGGGGTCAGCCAAAGGTACAGCACTCATTTCTCTTTGAAACGAAACATGAGTGCATCATGAAAATATGAGTGAGTTTGATAGCATAACAAACGGAATCTCAAAGTAACCATATTTCTCTATCTCTTTTAAGACCTTCGCCTATGACCACTGTTTTTGGTCGATGGATGAGTCGGAGACAGAGAAGTTTGCTGGTCAGTTTCTGCAAACATTTCTTGAAGAAGCCACATTGTTTATTTCTTGGTTCAGTACCAAGTATCTCATCTGTATCATCTTGTTATGATGGATCTTGTGCTGGTGCGGGTGAAGATAAGGTTTTGTTTACACATCAAGCTCATCTGTACTAACAAGGTTTTTCCAGAAAATCTATAATGTGTCACCTTGAAGTTTACAATACAATTAAAGACAAAGTTTGGTACTTTTTCTTTGGGACAAATTTTGCTTTAAGACAATTTGTTTTACGCATCTGCGTAAAATATAAGCAAAGATTTATTGACAGTTAGATGTATTTTGGTGCTATACTGTCTTTTAGCAAAAATTTTAGCCATGTACCATGAATCCTATTTTTAGTGACATTATTTAATGACAAGCTCACTTGACCTCCCAGTTCTCATTATCAAATGGATCTATAGGTTTTACATTCTGTAATATGTTTTTTTTTTTTTTACAGTATTTGTTGAAATGCGTTACGTTCTCCTGTTTTTCCCCTTTTCCACACACACATCCTCTCCTTCACCTGACGAATCATCCAGAAGAATTCAGTGAAGCCTATTTTAGGACCATGACCTTAATTTAGCTTAATTGTCATTTTAGGGTGAAATATCACTTTGATATGTTCTTTTTAAGGTTTTAGAAGATTCACTCCTAAAGACTTCATCTTAATTGTCATTCAATCATATTTTTACAGGTCAAGATGTAGTTTTCCAGTGCCTTGGGGAGAGTCTTTTGCACAATGCTTTTCAGGGTTACAACGCCTGTATTTTTGCTTATGGGCAGACTGGTGAGTAATATTTTGTACACCGTAACCTTTGCTCATGTTTTCAAAGCACTCTGAACTAGGACTGTGTGATTAATCGTTATTGATTTTCTATTTCTATTTTGGCTTCCAACGATTATGAAAACAAGATAAACGAGGTAAAACGATTCAGCGGTGCGCTTTATATCCTCCCTAAGCCAAACTTAACATCCAAATCAGCTGAATACGTGTTGCTGAACTGCAGGACGTTCCTGATATTAAACAGTGTCATTAAAAGCAAATTAAGCCGCGAAAGAGATACTGTTTGTGCGCTCCGAGACGGAGCAGAACATGCATGAGCCAAGTATACTGTGGGCTTCAGATTGGCTCCTGAACGGTCAAATAGCCTATATACAAAAGCGTCAAAATGCCGTTTTGGCGAGTGTCCTCGTAAATGCAGTCAGTTGTAAACAGTTGAGAAAGAAAACCGTGTGTAACAGTAGTCTATACTGGATCCATGCCTTCAGTATTAAAGTGACAGCAGCCCAATAATATATTACTGCTTCAGTCTGTGTCAATGTTAATCAAACAACAAAGACAAAGATAAAATCACTCACTGCTCTTGAATGAATAACTTTTGTAGCTTTATTAAGGATTAATCTATATTTAATGTATATAGTGAAGACTATGACGTCTGCAGTATCTGAATACCACTGCTAATACATCTCCCTGTAAAACTTAAAGCACTGTTTGTTTAATTAGTATTTTTGTTCCGTTGCATTGATTTTGTCCATTTTGTTTGTAATTAGTTTCTTTGTTCTTATTGTATTGCTGAATCTGAATGTTTACTTTTTTGTAATATATTCAAGTAATTATTATTTATAATAAGTAGCATGAGATAATTTCTTGTCTGCTGTGATGTAATTTCCCTCAGGCTCTGGAAAGTCGTACACCATGATGGGTTCGGTGGACCAGCCTGGTTTGATCCCCAGACTCTGCAGTTCTCTGTTTGACCGGACCATACAACACCAGCGAGAGGAAGAGAGCTTCACCGTAGAAGTCTCTTTTATGGAAATCTACAACGAGAAAGTCCGGGACCTTTTGGACCCCAAAGGGTGAAGCCTATTGTGTCTTATGTTCAATATCTGAGCTGTACTCTGCTGTTAATGTCGATCTTACACTATATCCGTTTGCTTTGTTCCCACAGGAGTCGACAGGCCTTGAGAGTGAGAGAACATAAAGTTTTGGGGCCTTATGTTGATGGTCTGTCCAGACTTGCGGTTGAAAGTTACAAGGTGACAAAATCTTTGATTTTTTTTTTAATGGGAGAATGACATGCGCTTCGCACAATCATTAACCTTTTACCTCTTTTTTTTTTTTAACAATACATTCTGTCGTTCGGTTAGTCATGTGGTTAATTTATCCCCTCTTTGGGTCTGTAGTTGATGCTGAGCAAATCCTGCTTTAGGAATGTTTGTAGTCAGCTCACGAGATTGCATGTGTCACTGCTGAAGTATTTGGTATTATGGAAATCTTAGTCATTCAAAAGCCTGCACAGAATTTGCAGAAAATTTCCACATATTTTTGCAGAATTTGATGAATGATTTTTTTGTTGTTGTTCAAAATAGTTTTTTTTTGTGCCTTTTTATTATTAATTATACTGAAGTATATTGGATTTAATTGGATTAAATGTGTTAAATATTATGGATTAACATATTCTTCCAAACCTAAATCCATTCTGTAGAATTCCACAGATTCCAGTGTGGAAGTCATTTCAAAACCTAAAAACAGGTTACTTTGCAGTAACCATATTTCATTAGCATTGTGCATGCCTTATTCTTAGAAGCTGTATTCAGGACATCATTACTGCTTTTTTTTTCTTTCCTTTTTTCTGCTTTTTTCTTCTTCTTTTTTTTTTACTTTTCTTTGAACAAAAAAATAATTGTGTACATTAGTGTGCAGTTGTTCTGACCTTTAAAATACATCTGAGACTCTAATCATGTTCCTTTTCCAACTCAAAGGACATAGAGTCCTTGATGTCTGAGGGGAATAAATCCCGCACTGTGGCGGCCACCAATATGAATGAGGAGAGCAGTCGCTCCCATGCGGTTTTCAATATCATCCTCACGCACACGCTGAAGGACCTGCATTCAGGGGTAAGAACACACTTAAACACACTGTTCTGAAGGTCAGAACTAATTTACATAGATTAAGATTTAGATACAAGATAAGACCAGTGGAAAATCACTTAAATGGGTCAAACCCTACGTTTCAAGCATTTTAAAATTTTATTAGTCCACTTGTAATGTTAGTCAGTGTTTTTTTGCACTATAAAACTCATAATCATGATACTTCACCCCCCCCCATCAGTTTTTGCTGTTGTACCTTTTTAGAGTTTTGCATGTAAATTACATCCTTTATGTTTGGCTTTGCAGTTTGCATACCAGCATAGTTTGTTTTTCAGGCTGGGTCAAGTTTCTGAATAATGAATAAACATTAATGTTAATATATTCATAACTTTACAAGCATGATCTCTGATTTACATGTTTTGCAGCTCCTTATTATAAATGGTCTGGGTGGCCTGGGTTTGGGAGCATTGTGAGTCTATCCTCAAACTCTCTTAATTTAAGAGCAAGGAAAACCATGTTTTCCCTGATACATTCCTCTTTAATTGTCTTATTTAATTTGTAAATAGTCTTGCTTCTCCTGTCTGCTGATAAAACCCAGATCTTGAATGTTCTTGCTAGGTCCTCATGAAATAAAGCCAAGTACTGCAGGAAGGGGAAGGTTGAGAGATGAGTCATTGTGTCCAGCCCTGATGATCTCATAGATGGATGTATTTGAATACCTTTTATCAGCTGATGTGGACCTGTGTTGGCACAGTCCAGTGCTCAGTCTAAAATTTTCCCTTTTAGATTTATGACACCGCCCTTACTTTTCTTCCGTTCACTTAAATCATTTAAAGGTTTTTTTCCTATTTATAATGTTGCGCAAGTCGTTTAATTGATTCAGCTTCAAAGATCTCTGTGACTATAACTGTCAATCAAAGCATATAGGTTTGGAACAAGTAAATAAGAAGTGAATTGTGTGAACTTTACTATTTAGTGCACTCTGGCCCACGGTAACCTTCTCTTTTCGGCTTTATCGTGAGCATGGGAAGAGCTCATGCAAATAGCAGGAAAATTGATGAATAAATTATAGAGTGTCCGAGTTTAGACGTCAACTGATCTCCTCTGGCGCTGTCCTGGTGTCACTGCGCTTTTCCTTTGTGGCGTATGTCATGATCACCTGACTCGACTCGTGTCCAGTCCCTAATCTATAATTCATCAGAGCCTGGACCGCGTTGGTCACTCAACAGGTGCACTCAAGACTACAGCAGAGATCTAAACTTAGCATGTTGTCACTAAAACAGAGCAATGATAAAGTATTAGCCTGCATGTACACACACACACCAGGTCCAGCCCTTATGAATGTGGTGTTTGTCAGCTCAGCCATCGATAAGTAATGATGTGTGTATTTTTCCAGGGCAGTCATCAGTGCTGCCTTTTGCATGCTGTGGTTTCCCATGCAAACAGCTCTGTGGGTATACACAAATGCTGGAGAAGGAAGGGCAATGGATTACCTTTGATTTCCATGTTCTTTTGTTTAAAATATGTTTAAAACGTATAATAAAAAAAAAAAAAAAAAACATTTATGTTGTCGTTGCTTGGCCGTGCAAACTCGCCACTATCCAACGCTAGCAGTTCTTCCATTGTGTTGCTATGCAGTTGCTAAGGTGTTCTGAGGGGTTAGTGCATAGTTATGCGTTTGCCGAGTTTTTCTAGTTGATTTTCAGGGTGTTTCTATGGAGTTGCTAATATATTCTAAGGGGTTAATGTGTAGCAAGCAATGCAGATGCTAGGGTGGTTGTCTGGGTGTTGCTATGAGTTTGGTAATGTGTTCTGAGTGGTAAGGTGTTCTTCTACTCTCTAGCTAGTATGTTGCCAGAGTGTTCTGAATGGTTGTCGTGGCATTGCTATACAGTGTCTAAGGTGTTCTGAGAAGTTAAAGTATAGTAAAGTATCCTGGAGGGTTGTTAGGGTGCTGCCATGTAGTTTCTAAGGTGTTCTGAAGGGTTATGCATGGCTATGTGGTTACTAGGCCATGGGTGCTTGTTAGGGGATTGCTTTGCAGTTGCTATGATGTTTTGAGGGGTTAATGCATAGCTATATGGTTGCTAGAGTGTCCTGGGTGGTTGTCAGGGTGTTGCCATGTAGTTTCTTAGATGTTCTGAGTGGTTAATTAGATACACGGCTGCTAAGGTGTTCTGGATTGTTGTCAGTGTTGCTCTGTAGTTTCTAAGATGTTCTGAGTGGTAAATTCATAGCTACACAGTTTCTAGGGTGTTCTGGGTGGTTGTCAGTGTTGCCCTGTAGTTTCTATTCAAAGTGGTTTATTCATAGCTATACAGTTGCTAAGGTATTCTGGGTGGTTGTCAGGGTGCTGCTATGCTGTTTTTAAGGTGTTCTGAGGGGTAAACGCATAGCTATATGGTTGCTAGGGTGTTCTGGGTGGTTGTCAGGGTGTTGCCATTAGGGCTGGGTACCGAGTTCGATAATTTTTAGGTACCGACCGAATTGCCTCGATACTATCGAGTATCGAAAAATGACATGTTTTTCGGTTCCAGATTTCGATACCTAAGGAGTTAACTCGTCAACGTCAGTGCTCAAACAAATACATATGAAATGCACATACACGCAAACTCTACACACACAAGACGCGCGGAACTCTCCGCCCACATACTCATATGAGACGCGCGCGTGCACGCACAAACTCTCCACGTGCATACTTATATGAGACGCGAGCACATACTCAATGACACGCAAGCACACACACACACACACACAAACTCTCCGCGCACATATTCATGAAACACATAATACCTTAAAGATGTGGAAAAGTCGATCAAAAGTGTGGGTACATTTCTCCAGGCTCGATGCCAACAGCGCGCGATGCAGTATTTTGCTGTAAAATAATTGCAAGGACCGGTACCATGACAAATGATGAAGACCTTGACAGTGCAGTAAACATAAAAGTTGCTCCTCTTCGATTGGTAAATGAAGAGATACCTTGTTGATCACTCTGACAGTGTTTATATTGCAATGAATAATAACCTACTGAATGTACACTGCCGTTCAAAAATGTGTTGGTTAGTCAGAATTTCTTTTCAGCAAGGATGCATTAAAGTTATCAAAGGTGACATTAAAACATGTGTAATGTTACAAGATATTTCGTTTTTAAATAAATTATGTTCTGAATTTTTTATTCATTAAAGAATCATGAAAAAATGTATCAGTTTCCAAAATATTAAGCAGCAAACTGTTTTCATATTTCTGAAGGGTCATGTGACACTGAAGTAATGATTTTGAAAATTCAGCTTTGAATTCAATTCATTTCAATAAATTACATTTTGAAATATATTCAAATAAGATTTTAAATTGTAATACTATTTCACAATATTACAAGTTTTACTGTATTTTTTATTTTTAAAAATTCAGCTTTGGTGAGCATGAGCTCTTTATAAAAAATTTTTTGTTCCTTTGTGCACTGGCTAAGGAGCATGAGTCAAACTGAAAAAAATAAAACCAAAGTTTTTCTGAGGTAATGTGTTATGTAATCTTGTTAAAATGGATTTCATAAAATTGGTATCGAAAAAAGTATCGTTAGGAACCGGTATCGAAACTGAGGTATCGAAATTGGCACCGGATCGAAAGATTTTGAACGATACCCAGCCCTAGTTGCCATGCAAGTGCTAAGGTGTTCTGAGGAGTTAACTTGCAGAGGTCATTCACATATGTAAAGTGTTAAAGTTACAGTAGCAAGAACAGCCTGTTAATTCTAAAGGTCAGCAAGAAGGTGGAAATGGGTCATTAAAAAGTAACTTGTTAAGGGGGAAAAAAACAAAATGCTACAAAAGTAAAGAATATGCCTGCTAGTTGATTAAAGATTAACGAATGAACTCCGGCTCTATATGATTCTGTATTCTCAGCCAATGTGCATTTGGAGCCTGAAGCTTTTGCAACACAAGGACTCTCTTTGTTGTTGTAATGCACTGTAATCTCGGTCCAGCTCCCAGCCCCCCTCACAACTTCCCATATCCTCTCGCCTCCCGCTCGCATCTCTTTGTGTCTCCTCTCAATTAAACCTCATCTCTGATGCTCAAACAGGGGGATTGTGTACAGTAAGGTCTGATGCTGGGCCATATAAAGGAACTCCACCCCACATACTGGTCCAATGCTGTGCAATAGAGAGGAGAACAATGGATGCTTGTCCATGGCCTGCCATAGCCTCTCTTGCCATTGTTCCTTCGTAATATAGGACAGCTCACCAGAATTTGTCCAGCATGGTCGTTCATACACAAATTTAACGTTTGAAGCCATTTCCCTGGATTTCTAAGGAGGACAAGCACAGAGAGGCTTGACAACCATGGAAATGTTCAGTAGTGAGAGATTATTATGTTGCTTTTTCCTTTTATTATTAGTTCCCGCCACCGTTAGTTTGCTATTTTCTTTCCAGAATAACTAGGCGGTAGGCGCCATTCATGGAAAGAGACATGTAATGAGGTCACGTGTCATACTGTTAAAAAATAGTAGGCGGTGTATACTCCGCCGTAAGAAGTATGCTTGCTAGTATTACATTTTGAACAGCATTTCTCATTTCTTTTTTTGCACTCTCTCTCTTTCTACAGACAAGTGGGGAAAAGGTGAGTAAGCTGAGTTTGGTGGACCTGGCAGGAAGTGAGAGAGCTGCAAAGACGGGCGCTGCAGGCGAGCGGCTCAAGGAAGGCAGCAACATCAACAAGTGTGTGCACTCTTGTCTCATTCTGCATGATTACTTTTTTTTTTCTTTTTTTTTAGTCTGTTTTGTCTTGTTTTGTCTTGGTACATTTTTGCACCAACCTACAGAAGGTTTGCATGAATCTTACAGAAGCTGTCAAGAACAAGGTCATATTCTGAAAAATAACTTTTTTTAACTTGAAGAAATTGAAACCTAAAAAGGAAGCATAAAAAAAACATTTAAGCTTTTCTGCATTAGGACATAATTTTTAGGAAAACGTTTTGCGTTATTTTATATTATATATAATATTATTTATATTATTAATTATATTACATTATTCATCGTACAATAATTATTAATATTAAATTAATCAATTCCATTCAATTCAGTATAATATATTAATTACCATTTAATATGAAGTATTTTTTTATTTAACTATTTTTAAAATAATAATACAATTATTTATATATATATAATTTTATTATTATTTTATCTTCATTTTCTTTATGCATAATTTTTGGGTCAAATGTGACACAGATCCTTTCGCTTAAGTCTCTGAATATCTGAGTCACCCCTGAATGTTTTCCTATGGCACTGAATTTAGGCGTTTCCTTTTCTGTTGAATGGGTGCTTTGAATTTTAAAGGGCACATATCATGGAAAATAACTCTTGAAATACGTCTGATCTTTTATGTAGACATACACTTCATTTACAGTGTGAAGCTCCTCTCTAATACTGTGTCTGGACATTTTAGTCACCTTAGAATGTATTTTGCAACATTGATTTGTGGTGTTCTTTTTTTCTGTGGCTGGGAGAGAAGTTTTATACTGTGGAGAATCAGTCTTGTTAAAATGGCCACATCTAAGGGCACCGTTTGTTCTGAGGAAGGTTTATAAATCTGGTGAAGGATTTTTGGCCTGCAGGTGCATATTTCTCTGTGTTCTGTGTCTCGGTCTGTTTCTCTCTCACTTATTTTTTTCCCATTTCTATCTTTCCTCTCCACACTGGACAGGTCTTTAACCACTCTGGGTTTGGTGATCTCAGCTCTGGCAGACCAGGGCGCTGGAAAGAACAAGAACAAGTTTGTGCCCTACAGAGATTCAGTGCTGACATGGCTGCTCAAGGTATGAACGCTCATTCTGTCCGGTAAACACTGGGAGAGAGAATTTCCACAGATTTTTTTTTTTTACTTTTTCCAATCCACTGCCACACACACTTAAATGTATAATGTCTGTCCTTCTGGTGTAACCGCAGGACAGTCTGGGTGGAAACAGTCGGACTGCCATGGTTGCCACCGTGAGCCCTGCGGCCGATAATTACGATGAGACGCTGTCAACGTTACGCTATGCAGACCGAGCAAAGAGCATCGTCAACCACGCCGTGGTCAACGAAGACCCTAACGCCAGGATCATCCGGGAGCTCCGAGAGGAGGTGGAGAAACTGCGAGATCAGCTGACGCAGGCTGAGGTAGACACGTTTTCTTAGTGTTTTGTTGCAAAAGGTCAAAAACATTGTTTTAGGAACCTGTCATGTTCCTCCTTAGTCTATGAAGGCGCCAGAGCTGAAGGATAGACTGGAGGAGTCTGAAAAATTGATACAGGAGATGACGGTCACCTGGGAAGAGAAGCTGAGGAAGACTGAGGAAATTGCACAAGTAACCGCCACAATAATTTGCACTGTTTTGTCTGCATCGTAATTCTGTTTATGTCTGGTTACTCTGTAGTTCAAGTGCCATAACACCATCAATCAAACAGAAGTGGACACTCATGTTCTTCTCGCGTTGGGGTTTTGTTCTGTATAGGAAAGACAAAAACAGCTGGAGAGCCTTGGCATCTCTCTGCAATCTTCTGGTATCAAGGTTGGAGAAGATAAGTGCTTCCTGGTCAATCTCAACGCTGACCCTGCCCTTAATGAACTACTGGTTTATTATCTAAAGGTAATGCACAACCAGAACTTTTTTTCTGTAAGATACTAGAAATGTTTCTGATGCGAGTTTTGTATATTGACTTTTTTTAGTTAAATATAATATATAAAAAATATATATTTTAATATATATATATATATATATATATATATATATATATTAGGGGTGTAACGATACACGTATTCGTATTGAACCGTTCGGTACGAGGCTTTCGGTTCGGTTTTCGGTATGCATTTTTGAACCGAACGTTTCGTTGGACCATTTTTCCTGCTGACCAAAATTTCGTTATTTCAAATGTAGACGCGTCACGCGTGGCAAGCGCGCTCATAATGTAAGAGACGCTGGCGTGACCACAACATTGCCCAACATCAAATGGCAAATGTAATGTAAGCGGAACGAAACCACTCGTTATTGTGTGGTTGGCGGACCGTTTATCAGTTTGGACCAATGCAGCGCGAGCCGATCTTAATCATCAGCACTGTTACTAGGCCTACTACCAGTCCCTCCAGTTTTTCGCGATTCTGCGATCGCTGAATACAACGCAAAATCAACAAAATGTCGCATTTTTTTGCGATCCTGCATAATTCCCAATTTAACCGCAAAATAATCACAAAAATTAAAAAAATGACCTCATAAAACATTAAATTATAATCACCCAATTGAAATATATCTAGTTAAAGTTTCAATGCATTTTTACGTGGATACAGATGTTGCGCACGCGTGATGTCTGTGAGCGGTCTGTCAGAAACATGGCGAAAGAAAATGCGTCTCTCCTGCCCTCTCACATAACCGCCCAGGTTTTCATTGGGATACGGCAAACTTATTAACGCATTTAACATGATTGAATGACATAACAAAAAGTATGATATGCTCGATGGTACTAAAAATAATTCTTAAAAGCGCAGCATACCGTGAAAGAGAACTAATTTCAGCCAGTCGAGTGACAGTCTGTCTCTGACTGCAAGCGTGTGTGTGTGTGTGTGTGTGTGTGTGTGTGTGTGTGTGTGTGTGTGTGTGTGTGTGTGTGACTGACTGACTGACTGACTGACTGCGTGTCACCGCCTGTCGTCCTAGTTAGAATATTGAATTCTCTTTATAGCGCTTGAACAAATACACATAGCTACAATTACTTCAAAATATTAGTCTTGGCAAGTATTTACGTAAAACAATCAGTAATAACTGATTGGGACGTTTGTCATTACTGTAGTAGGTCTTAAAGTGACAGTAACCTAATTTACCTGCTGTTGTCAGTGTTGTTAATGTTATTCAAGCAAGCAACAACAATAGGCTACAGCACAATTTAAAAAAAAGAATTTGATTAGACCAAATAAACAAGCTTTATGCAATTTGTTTGTCATTTGTGTCATGTATGACTATTGTGCATCTGACATAATACTATTATGGTAAATGTGATGTCCTAATTATAAAATATAAAAATCGCAAATTTTTCACAAATTTCTGGAAATTACCACCACAAAATCAGTCATTTTGATCGCAAAAATCACACAAAAAAATTGTGAAATCCTGGAGGGACTGTACTACACAGCCAAATCCAGTAAAGAAAGCATTTGAGTTCGCCACTGAAATAATAACATCGCTGCGAGATCTAGTGAGAAACATTCGCATTTCTCCATTATTAACGGATCAAACAGCGCTGACGTGGAAACCAGGAAGAAACATTGTGCCATGAATGAACTATCCAGTGTCCACAGATCAGCAACATTCACCATGGATTTACTGTAGTAACACTACTAACTGTAACCATGGAAGTTTGGCAGGAATAGTAGGCTATAATGCTTTCAAGTAACATCACGTCGGTTTTATTTTGACATTATGAATACAATTGCTGCCCTCAAATGTTAATCTGAACTAAAATAACCCTTTGTTTATAACTACTACAATATTACATTTAATTTTGTCCAAGGAGCTGTTTTGTTTTATAAGCTCCTAAGAAAAGTCAAGTATAGCTCCATCATTGCTCAAAGTTAAAAAATATCATACTTTATGATGTTAGTTTTAATAAAAATATAATTAAAAAAATTAAATCGAGGAAATTTCTCTGGCATTTCTTTCTTTTTGCTGTATCGGAAACTTACCGAACTGTGACACAAGTATATCGTATCGAACTGAACTGTGAATTTTGTGAACCGTTACACCCCTATATATATATATATAAGTTTTGAGTCAGTAATATCGTTTTTATAATTAACATTTATTCAGCAAAGATGCATTCAATTGATGAAAAGTGACAGTGAAGACTTACTTTTACATTGTTAAAAAAAAAAAATATATATATATCAAAGAATCCTGGAACAAATGTATTACTGTTTTCAACAAGAAAAAATTGAGCACCAAATAAGCATACCAGAAGCATAATTCACCCTTGCCAACACAGGAAACAAATCACATTTTAAAATATATGAAAATATTTTTTTTAATAAATAATAATAAAAAAATTCAAGGTTCCCACGGGTCCTTGGAATCCTTGAAAATGTGTGAATCTGAAAAAAAAATTCAAGGCCCTGGAAAGTTTTTGAAAATAAACATAGATACAGGTCCTTGAAAGTGATTGAATTCATTTTGTGCAAGAAGTTTTCTGGAAAAAATTCCATATTATTCCCTCCGGTCCGCTAATGCCAACACTTCGTGGCCTATGCATACTAGCTTGCTTGATTTACGTTAGTTACGTGCATTTACACGTTACGTCAAGTGTTTCCCACGTGAGGTACTTTGTGTTGTACATTGCCATGACGTTCATATGTGCACGAAACTACTACGATGGTACATCAACGTTTTACAGACACACTGTGAAACATTGCAAAAATAGGCTGAAACAATGTAACCTTACTCCCTCTTGAAATGTGTCCCCACATTAAGTCCTTGAATTTGTGGGTATTAGACCTGGAAAGTTCTTGAAAGGTCTTTGAATTTGAAATTTCTTGGTACATTTGGTGCTTGAAATAAGGCATTTGTTAAGTTTTGGTCTGTGTGGTAGTAACAGCAGTTGATGCTGTTTGCAGGAACACACTAAGGTTGGATCAGCAGATTCCCAGGACATCCAGCTGTGCGGAATGGGCATCCAAGCAGAGCATTGTGTCATTAACATCACACCTGAGGGAGCTGTCTTTCTCAACCCTTACAGAAACTCAAGGTAATGCATTGAGTGTTATAATTTTTGAGATGGGTAAACCAAAAGGTCATATGTTCAAAGTCCAGTTTGGTCCATGAACTGGAGAGTGCTTAACCACAGGCTATCTTTGAACTCTGCATGCATACTACATTTACATTTATGCATTTGACGGGTGGTTTTATCCAAAACGATAAGTTAATAATATAAGTTAAAGAATAAAAAAAAAAAGTGATGAAATACAAGCAAATCTTCGTCTCGGTTGAGGTAAATGTTAAATCTTAAGTTATATGAAATAATCTAATGTTGCCTCTGTTGCAGAACATGTGTGAACGGATCTCCAGTCACCAGCCGGCAACAGCTTCACCATGGTGACCGTATTTTTTGGGGAAACAATCACTTTTTCAGGTCAGTGTTATTACCCCAGACTGAGAATGTCACACTGCGGCTTACTGTATTTGTACATGACAGTGCATTATTGTTATCTTCTTTTATGAAGACTCTTTATATTTGTGTTTTGTTCAGAATAAACCTACCGAAGCGGCGCTTAAGGGGTGAGGAAGAGGAGGGTGAGGGTGAGGGAGGGAGCATGAAGAACAGTAACAGCAGTGAGCAGCTGGACGGAGAGGGAGATACTGCCAGCGAGGTGTCCAGTGAGGTCAGCTTCAGCTACGAGTTTGCTCAGACTGAAGTCATGATGAAGGCTTTGGGCAGCAACGGTGAGTTTGATCCATTAAGCTATATTAAAAACAAATGCGAATGAAATATGGCTTCATTTGAAATATTTTAATTCAAAAGTTTGGGATCGGTAAGATTTGTTAATGTTTTTGAAAGAAGTCTCCAAGGCTGAATTTATTTGATCAAAAATACAGTTAAATCAGTAATATTGAGGAATGATTACAATTTAAACTAACTGTTTTTCTATTTTAATATATTTGAAAACGATTTTTTTTAATCTGATTGCAAAGCTGAATGTTCAGCATCATTACTCCAGTCTTCAGTGTCACATGATCCTTGAGAAATCATTCTAATATGCTACTATAATACTTGATATTTTTGTGGAAACGTAATGTGTGAAAGTCAAAAGTACAGCATTTATTTGAAATGGTAAATACATTTGTAATATTACAAAATATTTCTGTCAATTTTGATTTAATGCATCCTTGCTGAATAAAAATATTAATTTCTTTAAAAAAAAAAATAATATTGACTCAAATTCTGAATAGTAGTGTAGCTCTAATAAGAAGTAAAACATATTGCTGCTATTGAAAATATGGACACTTATTTTGCATTTAAGGGAGGCATTTTACTCATTTTACATGTGAAAAGGTTAGCCAATCAAAACCAAGGTAATTTACATAAAGTCTTAAAGGTACAGTAGCAAAAACTTTTCAAAATGGTGTAAAACATTACTGTTTTTGTCATCCAACAGACCCTATGCAGGCTGTTTTACAATCTCTGGAGCGTCAACACGAAGAGGAAAAGAAGACTGCTCTGGAGCGTCAGCGGCTGATGTACGAGCAGGAGCTGCAGCAGCTGCGCAGACAGCTGACTCCAGACAGGCAGAGCATGCAGATACCGCAGTCGCAGCCCTTGCAGCCGCACTACCGCAGCTTGGAGAGACTGAGCCAGGGAGGAATGTCATCATCACCCAACGCCCAGCACCGCCTGCGCCAGTGGAGTGAGGAGAGGTGAGCTTTATATTTTCGGTGAAAACAAATGTTTTGCCCTCCCAAGGAGGAATTTGGTTCACGGTGAGTTTGTTGTAACGCTCTTGTTGTGCTGATGCTAGGGAGGTGGTAGTGACACGGAGCTTGCGGAAACTGAGGGAGCAGATCGTACGGGCTAATCTGCTAGTACAGGAGGCGAGCTTCATCGCGGAAGAGCTGGACAAAAGAACCGAGTACAGAGTTACTTTACAGATCCCTGCTGCAAACCTCAATGCCAACAGGAAGGTCAGGAACCTTTTGCAGCAGCACACAGAAGAAACGTAGCATGGATGGTGCAGTCAGTTGATTTTTTTTTTTTTTTTTTGTGTATGTAGCGAGATGCTGTCCTGAGTGAACCCGCGATTCAAGTGAGGAGGAAAGGCAAAGGGAAGCAAATCTGGGCCCTTGAGAAGATGGAAAACCGGCTGGTGGATATGAGAGACCTTTACCAAGAGTGGAAGGACTTTGACGAGGACAACCCCGTATGCTCTTTTTCATCACAGGAGTTTTACTGTCCCATAAAAATGAAAAGGTGACCCTATAGATGCGGTCTTGCTCTCCATCTCATAGGTGATGCGCTCGTACTTCAAGAGAGCCGACCCTTTCTTCGATGAGCAGGTGAACCACAGTTTAATCGGGGTGGCTAACGTTTTCCTCTCCTGCCTGTTCTATGACGTAAAGCTACAATATGCAGTTCCCATCATCAATCAGAAAGGAGAGGTGAGGATGATGCGTTCAGATCTGCCAGCAAATATGATCAGTGGTTTGTCTCTGTGAATATTTCATGATAACTGACTCGTTTCATTTCTGAAGGAAAAGTGGGATATAAATTAAATCAAGTGCAAATTGATCTGTGAAATTGAATCTAATCGAGTCATCAAATCAAGCATGAGACACGGTTCATCTCGAGGGGACCGCTGAAGTGTTGTTCACTTGTTGCTGGTGTCAGGTTGCCGGGCGACTGCATGTGGAGGTAATGAGGATGGGTGGAGGGTTTGATGATGGCGTAGCTGGAGGAGATGACAGCGATGGAAGCCCGGATGGAGATGTACAGGAACGCAAGCTGGTCTGTATGGTGAGTACTGAAGTTCACAATAACAGAAGCAGGCTTTGTGTTTAAGGTTTGAAAAATGTAAGTCACTTAAGTTTTTGGTAAGTAAATAATAATAATAATAATACTTAATATGTATATTATATTATTACATTAAAAATTAATGAACAATTTTTGGTTACACTTTATTTTAATGTGTCCCTGTTAGTGTGTAATTATACATTTAAGTACTGAGTAATATTAATTGAGTAGATGTATTTACTATATGGTTAGGGTAGGATTAGAGTTTGGTTTAGGGTTAGTTGCATGTAATTATGCCTAATTTATAGTTATTACTATAGTAAATGCATGTGATGTGTAACAAGGACACATTAAAATAGTGTTACCTGATTTTTTTTAAGGAGTCTCTTATGCTCACCAAGGCTGCATTTATTTGATAAATACAGTAAAAACTGTAATAATGTGAAATAATAATGTTTTTTTATTTGAATACATTCTAAAAAGTAATTTATTGCTGTGATGGCAAAGCTAAATTTTCAGCATTGTTACTCCAGTCTTGATCCAGTCACATGATCCTTCAGAAATAATTATAATATGTGGATTGGCTGCTCAAGAAACATTTCTTATGATTGTCAAAGTTGTGCTGCTGAATATTTTTGTAAACACAATGTTTTGTCAGGATTCTTTGATGAATAGAAAGTTCAAAAGAACAACATTTATTTGATATAAAAATCATTTGCAACAATTATAAATGTATTTTATTGTCATCACCTGTGATCACTTTGTCTTTGCTGAAAAGTATTAATTTTTTTTTTTTTTTTTTTTTTTAATCGGACTGACCATACTTATTTTACTCCTGTCTCTCAAACAGATTAAGATCCTGCAGGCTACAGGTCTCCCACAGTACCTGTCCAATTTTGTCTTCTGTCAGTACTCTTTCTGGGACCAAGCAGAGCCTGTTATTGTGGCCCCGGAAGTAGATCCATCTGCCTCCTTCTCCAGCAGCAAAGACCCCCACTGCATGGTGGTGTTTGACAGCTGTAAGGTACGAATCGAGACGTATCCCTTTACAAGCTGATAGTAAATTAGGCCCAACGTATTTTACCCTCCTATAAATCCTATCAACCAATCATAGCTCTAATGGTGATCCTGGAACATGCTGCTTGTTTAAATGATGTAGAGTTGTGAATTATTACTAAAATTGACCTTCAGCTTTTAAAACTGTGGTGAATTGTGCACCTCTTTTAGTTCAATAACAGGAGTTATTAAGAAACCATTAACATGCATTTACTTTTGGTATACTCTCTGTACTGTAGGAACATGCTGTGACTGTAACAGAGGAATTTATCGAGTATCTAACAGAGGGTGCTGTAGCCATTGAGGTTTTCGGACACAGACAGGCTGATCCAGGCAGGAACCCTGCGCTGTGGGATCTCAGCATCATCCAGGCCAAAACACGCACATTACGTGACAGGTTTGAACACAAAATTGAGCTTCAGCCCCCCTGCAATTGTCCAATTATGCTAATACGAATGTAGAGAACATTGTGTGCATTGGGCGTCTAGTATCTGATGATCTGCTTCCGCTTTTTGGAATGGTTTGACTCTTATGTGTCCTCAGGTGGAGTGAGGTAACCCGCAAGTTGGAGATGTGGGTGCAGATTCTGGAGCTGAATGAGAACGGAGAGTACATTCCCGTGGAGGTGGTGTCAGCGCGAGATATTCGCACGGGTGGCATCTTCCAGCTCAAACAGGTCAGGACACCTCATGTTCCTGCGGGGTTAGAAATTACACTACTGTAAGCATGTTAGCCCACTGCTGCCATCTATAGTTATATTAGATCAGATTACGATCAGAATAAAGCATAGCATGAACTACCTTAGGCTTAGGCGTTTTTTTTAGTCACATGCTCGATACAGACGGTAACGAGGTGTTTTTGCATGCTTGCCTTGAGCAAACTTTGTTTTTTTAAATAAATTTATTTATGATTCCTAGACATGTGTGCTCTGTATTTTGCTTGTGCTCTTTTATTCTATCTACACTGTTTAACATTTCGGTTCAGGGCTTTTGTCATGGGGTATTAACTGTTTTTGTTTGTCTTTCCCAGGGCCAGTCTCGGCGGGTTCAAGTGGAGGTACGTTCAGTGCAGGACTCCGGCACGATGCCTTTGATATCAGAGATCATTCTGGGAGTGTCCGTTGGCTGTGTGGAGATCAGGCAGGTGCGGATGACCAAAAACAATGAGCCACAAGAGGTAAATGTGCCTTTTCACTTGAGCTTTTAGCATTTAGCAGGATCGTGTCTGGATATTGTCAGAGTTTGTAATGTTTATATTGTTTTTCTTTGTAGCCTGAGGGTGATGAAATGGACAGTTATCAGGTATGTTTGGTTGTGATGCAATACATCTATAACATTGATTTTCAGTTGATAATAAATATCAGAAGTGATTGATTGTTTTGTATTATATTATATATTTTGAACTTTCTATTCATTAAAGAACCCTGAACAAAAGTATCATAATTTCCAAACAAATATTAAGCAGCACAGCTGTTTTCAACATTGATAATAATATTTTTAACTAAATCAGCATATTAAAATGATTTCTGAAGTGTGACACTGAACACTGGAGCAATGGCTGCTGAAAATTCAGCTTTGCTATCACGAAATAAATTACATTTTAAAATATATTCCAATAGAAAATGTGTTTTCGTGGTGTTGTGGTGCTCCCGCTGAGGTGCAGTTTTGAATCCGGTCTGCATCATTTCCTGATCACATTCCTGGCTGTCTCTCCCTCCCACATGTTTCCTGTCTTTCTCCACTGTCCTTGCCATTAAAGGCATAAAGGGTCTATTAGTTAGCAAAAAAGATGCCAAGCAAAAGCAACTTTTGTGGTTATGCATTTGTCGATCATCCTGTAGGAGCGTGATTTAGAGCGTCTGCGGCGTCAGTGGCTCACCGCTCTCACTAAGAGACAAGAATATCTGGACCAACATCTTCAGACCTTGGTCAGCAAAACAGGTAAAAACCAGACAGAGACATTTTACTGTTTTGTAGTCTCAGGTCAGTAATTAACTACAAAAGAGTGCTGTCCTCTCTTTAATTTGTGGCTAATTAGTTTTGTACTGTCCTTGTGTGGGGAGCTTTTGTGTTTGTTGTTACTATTTGTATTACATCATGCATTGGTCCAAAATCCCACTCCACATAGTTCCTTATTGTTGTTCCTTTGCTGATCAAAAAGTTGCATAATTCAGACTCAAAAGTGGGGTGGGGAAAAACTTTGAGATTTGACTGAATCAGAGCTACATTGATTGGTCAGCATTTTATTTCTGCATGTACACTGATTTTTTTTGAATAGCATAATTTAGCATAAAACTAAAGCTGTGAGAAATCTTGTGACCTGAAGGTTTCAAGTTTATAGAGGCAGAGCCAATGATCTATTCTTTTTCCTCTCTTGGTTTCTTGACAGCTCTGCTTATATTTATCATGATCGAACAAATGTTGCTCAACAAAACAAGTCATCTTCAACTTTTCTAAACTTAAAGTTTCTAAAGTTTAAAAAAAAAATAATACATTATAGTGTACAATGTTATTATAATATTAAATAATTATTTATTGAGAGATGGATGGAATGATGGATAGATATTTAATACGGCTGGGCATTGACACAAATTTCACAATTCAATTTGATTTCGCTTCACAAGCTTGTGATTCGATTCGATTTCAATTTGATTCAGTTCGATTCAATTTTGATTAATTAGGGCTGTCGGGTACAGTACATGGCAAATTTCCTCAAGGACAAAAATATCTCTCTAAACTTGGTACAGCACTAATATTAAAGGTTAAAATCATCTGATTTGTAGGGTACTTAATTTTAAATTACACAAGGAAGTTTTTTTTATAATAATAACATCATAAGAATACATATTGGATGACAATTATGATTCTACTTTTTTTTTTTTAATTAAATTTGGTGGCTGTCATAAAAATTACAAATTAATCAAACATTGAATACTGAAGAATATTACTTTTAAAATATAAAGTAAAACTACAATGAATATGCAGTATAATGCTTATATTTAGCATAATACTCCTCTCTAGAGTAAATATTTCTTAATTTTTCAAATCAATGTGATAAACGAGTTGAGTCAAAAGTAATCTAAAAGTAGTCAGATTATATTACCTTAAATCTGTAAAGTAATGGATTACGTTACTAATTACAATTTTTGTCATGTAATTTAGAATCAGTAACCGACTACAATTTGTAAGTAATCTACCCAGCACTGTATATACATACTATATACATACACACAACAAATATATATTTAATTTTTTTTATTCATAAATTTGTATATAGATATATTGATGACAGGGCCTTCTCTGGAGAAATGGCATGACATAGAAATGAGAGGAAACATTGTTGATTCTCTCTGTGACCAGATAAGTCTGAAGATGACGTGGAGAGGGAGGCCCAGCTGCTTGAGTGGCGTCTGACGCTCACGGAGGAGAGAAATGCAGTGATGGTGCCCTCTGCTGGCAGTGGAATACCAGGAGCTCCTGCTGAGTGGTACGACACTGCTGCTACCATACTGAGCAATTTTCACTTAAACTTACGAATTAAATGAATCGTTATAGATAGCTGGTATACATGTTGTCTGTCAGAGGAGGTTTGAATGAAATTCAGTGTAAAATCAGCTTAGTTTTATGCAGTTTGCTTTTTAGGGAGGATGTTCTAATCCTTAAACGATGTGTTTTGTCAGTTTTGATTTAAGTTTGATTTGTTTGTGAAATGAATGTCAGTATCAGTTAAACAGTTTTTACAAATGTTTAGTCATGAGTATTTGGGCCATGTGTTGATGATTTGATGTCTGTCTTGGCAGGGTACCAGTACCTGGGATGGAAACTCACATTCCAGTGCTCTTCCTCGACTTGAGCGGTATGTTTTTTCCTGCCTGCTGAAGAACAGCAACGTTCTCTGCAGAAATGCAATGTCCTCTACGATCTTTCTTCCATTGCTCCCATTTGTAAGCACTATTTATCTTAACACTCATTTTCACACTTGTTCCTCCTTTGTTTCTGTTCTTCCTCCCTCCAGCTGATGACTTCAGCTCTCAGGAGAACCTAGACGTTCCCGAGGCAGGCGGCTGGGACGCTATGCTCAGCTCAGAAGATGAGGATGAATTTTTTGACCTTCAGATCGTCAAACACTATGATGGAGAGGTGAGAATGTGACCCACGCACCTTCGGGGCTCTCGCAGGCTCCCTAAGTTGTCTGTGAAGGAATGTATTAACCTATTTTACTTCCAGGTGAAAGCCGAAGCCTCTTGGGACTCCACGGTTCATGAATGTCCACAGCTGAGTCGAGGGGCCGCCCCAGATCAGAGAGTATACTTGATCGTCCGCACCGTGGTACAGCTCAGCCACCCTGCAGAGATGCAGCTAGTCCTGCGCAAACGCATCTGTGTGAACCTCACTGGACGACAGGTGCGGCACAGTCTACTTTAAATGACCTACACCATCATCAGAACTGCAGAAAAGTCTTCTCAAACTTTCTGCTGTTAAAGGGTTATTTAACCCAGGAATGAAATTTATCCCGTAATTTACTCACCCTCAAGCCATCCTAGGTGTAGATGACTTTCTTCTTTCAGCCAAACACAATTGGAGTTATATCCTGGCTCTTCCAAGTTTTATAATGAGAGTGAATGGTACCTTTTTTTGAAGCTCAAAAAAGCGCATCCATCCATCATAAAAGTAATCCATATGACTTTATGGGTTAATAAAGGCATTCTGAAGCGAAGCGATGCGTTTTTGTAAGAACAATATCTATATTTATAACTTTATAAACTATAATCACTGACTAGTGACTGGCGAGTCTAGTTCCAGCAGAAGAGTGACCTCTGACCTGACACATCTTGACTCGCGTACGGCCGTTACCGGAAGCCAGTGATTTATAGTTTATAAAGTTATAAATATGGATATTTTTCTTATTATGGATTACATTAATGATGGATGGATGTGCTTTTTTGGGCTTAAAAAAAGGTACCATTCACTCCCATTATAAAACTTGGAAGAGTCAGGATATTTTTGAATGACACCGATTGTGTTTGGCTGAAAGAAAAAAGACACATACACCTAGGATGGCTTGAGGGTGAGTAAATTATGGGATTTTTTTTTTTTTGGGGGGGTGAACTAACCCTTTAATCAAGCTTAACATACAGCTGTGCCATATGTTTTTGGTGCTTAGAAACCCTATACTTTTTAAGAAACAAAAGTTTTTCATATCTATCCCTGAGTATTTGTTTTCTTTTGTTTAAACAGGGTTTTGCCCAAAATTTCTTGAGAAGAATGTCCACCAGGAGCACTATTCCCGGCTGTGGTGTGACCTTTGAAGTTGTCTCCAACATCCCAGGGGTAGGCATACAGTACAAAATCTGCTGTTTTGTCTGTGTATAATGCATTAGTAGCTGAATTATATGGGTTTTTCAGTTACCAATGACAATATATAATACTTTTGCTTAATTCAGAACAGTGTTGCTATTGCTAACTAAACAATTAACTGAAATAAAGCTGAATTAAAAGAAAATATAAATGACGCCAAATAACTGAAATAACATCTTACATTAATATAAATAAAAGCTAAATACAAATATTAAAAATGACAAAAGCAAATTACAAAATTACCGAAACAAACTAAAATTAAAATAAGCTGAAATTATACAAATAAAAGCTCATTCAAAATATTAAAAAATACTATATGAAAAGTACTAAAATTCAAAAACATTGATTCAGAAAAAATTTGTCTGTAGATTTCAGTATTGAAGCAAGGAGAAACTTCCATGTTCTTAATTTACAGTTATTCACTCATATGTATCACTGCAAAACTCTCAGCAACAACTAAATGTCATGTTAGTTAGCCATTACCCACAAGAAATTAACTTGTATCAGCAAAAGCTGCTCTGGTAAAGATGCACACCTGGTTTCTTTAGCTGGTTTGTTTCTAAGCACCTGTCTTTCTTGACTGTGTACGTCTGCAGGACAGTCAGAGCTCAGAGGACAGGGAGATGCTGGCCCGTGTGGCCACCAGCGCTGAGAACGCCAAATCCTTAGACAATGAAGCTGCCACAGAGAAGTACCTTCGGAGCGTCCTGGCCGTGGAGAACATCCTCACACTGGACCGTCTGAGACAGGTCACCCAGCTACCTCCACTTATATTTTTGTACTGATGAGTCTACATTTGATCATCTTTCTTATTTTATAATCATTTGAGCATGTTTTTTATTTTTATTTTTTAAACTGAATTTTACAGGACGAATGAATTTAAAGGCAGAAAACCACCCTTAGGCCGTGTCCACCATAGTGTTTTTAGCCAGTTGATAGAGGTTCGGCAGCGCAGAGTTTTTCCAGTTGAGAAGCTTTGCTTGCAGTGATACGGAATAGATTCAGAAAAAAGTATCCTCTAGTATCTCATTTCACATATAGTTTGTTTCTGTATTGTTTCTATATAAAAATGTTGATACAATGTAAAGTATTTTCTCTTGCTCTTGTTTTAAATTTTGTTCCGTTATTATGCTTGTTGTTGTCATCTGTTGCCGTTGGTCAATGTGGTATTTGTCCCTCCATTCCTCCACTGTGATTGGACGGCTGGGTAAAAAGTAAAAAAGTTTTACCCAATGTTGAACATTCCTAAACTCTTGGTGACCGGTAAAAAACGCTGAGCGTTCAGCGTGAAATAGACACTTAGCACCACGTCACGCTGCTGCCGTTTTAAAAAAGCGGCGCTCCTGTTGAAAACAATTGGAAACATAAGCTAGCCTCTGGAAAAAACGCTTTGGTGGACACAGGGCCTTAGTAATAATTTTTTAGATATGTCAAACTGATTCGCAAAGTGTTTGTAAATCACTGTAGTTTAAGGAATAAAACTGAGGAGAGTAATGTGTTAGCGCATCATTTAACTCATTCTATATAACCTTATCATAGTGATAAATAGCAGTTCTAGGAATCAGTTCACTAAAATGAATGGTGACTTTCCAGTGCGGTCTAGTTTCTCTAGTTCAGCTCAGCATGTTGTTTTCATCATGTAAATCAGATCATGTATTACAGGAGGTGGCAGTGAAGGAGCATTTGGCAGGTAAAGGCAAGGGCAGCAGACGCAGTCTCAGCTCTCCCAGTGTGCACCGGGTAAGCGCATCTGTAGCCTTAAATTCATCTTAACAGAGAGAAATGTTAAGGACACTTGGCATCAACAGAGTCTGGCACATTCTGTATTCACACATCAACTCTTCTTCCTCTAGTTATCTGGAAGCAGACAGGATCTGTCACTAAACTCAGTGCTGGATGACAACAAGGTAAGATTCTAGGGTGAAAAAGGACATATGGTCCACTACAGGAAACCGGTTGTTTTTTGTAACCTCTGATATCCAATTTGCTTATGTAAGAATCGATGGGAGAGTCAGCAGGATATCTTCGGTACATCCTCCCAGATTAGCAAAACACTGCCACGACCATCCAGACCTCCTACACAGAATCAGGACCCTGAGCAAGGTACGACATAATGATCGCTCTTTAAGTGAGCAGTTCAGGACGTGAACAGTTTGTTTTTTTTCGCCAATAAAATAATCTTCCTTTACCATTTCCAGCATGACCCTTTCTTTATTTGTCTTATCTTTCAACTTTCAACTCTGTGTTCTCTGTAAGTGTGTCAGACTCATTCCTGCCTGTGTGCTGCCATTTCTAACCTGGTTTATGAAATAGTAGTTTAACTTTTATCTAAATCAACTTCAAGTATGCTTGTTAGAGGGAAAATATCTGTGTCTAGATCAAGGGCATAATATTGGCAGTTCGAGGTTTGATCTGTCTTGTTCAACTACAACTTCTTTTCACCACTCTTCGTGATCTGTCACAAAATGTCAATGTGACATTTTGTATCAGTGTGACATTATTTTCCAGCGTCATGCACTCCTTTTATTTATTTTCTACATCTGTCTTTGTTTCACCATCGTTGTCGTCTCTCTCCACACACCTCTACCTTGCTTTTTGCCTCCTTCCCAACCTGCCCACAGGTTTCTCAGGGCTTGCTGCTTCTTATATCTCCACAGTCAAGGTCCTGGTCCCTCAGATGCCCAAGCTGCTCAAGTCCCTGTTCCCCGTGCGTGAAGACAAGAAAGATTTGAGACCCTCTCCACAGTCACAACAGGTCTGAACTAATTTTTTTACTTTTGACATTTCAGCCATTTTAATGAGTAAACCATGCCCAAAGCTCGCTTTTCTGCCCTGAGTCTCATGTTTCCTGTCAAGAAATTTCCAGGTCATATTTCACCCTAAAACCAAAAAAATAAAATAAATAAAGTATGAGAAATAAAATGCATAAATAAAATATAGTAAATAAATAATGCATTTTAAGACAAAGTTATTTATTACATTTTTAAATCCAATTATGTGTAGATCATGTGGTATTTGTTGTAGTGTATTTAATTTATGCTGATATTACAGTATAGTTCTACAGAAATTAGAATTTGGGGGTAAAATGTGTTTAATTGTCATAAATATGAAAATGCAAAAAAGATATAGTGGTCCTAAAACTAGATTTTATTTCTTCAAATATTTCTTCCGTTACAAAACTCTCAAATTATTGAATTTATTCAAAAGACGAGCAGTAACCTATGCTTATAAACATTTCTGCATGTAAATTCCAGTCAACAGTGATTTCGTGCATAAATGAAAAAAAGCAATGTGAAGTATCCATCATAAAAATAGCCGAATTAGCGCTTGCAAAGCCTTTTAAGAAATATGCTGCATTTAGATGAGTAAATCATATGTGGTAATCAAAGAGGGATGCGAATGCTCTTGACCGATTTAATTTGAGTCAATTTTAGATTCTAGTATACTGTCGTTCTGTCTTCATGCCTCCTCATTTCCATATAGACAGAAATTCCATACGCTACTACATTGCCAATATATCCATGATATATTATCCATCTTGTATGAGGCAAATTAAGTCTTTAAATTAAGCCTTATTGCTTGGTGGTGGATTTTTTGTGAGAAAAACAGGCTTTTTTGGTTTTCCTTGATTAAAACTGTGTCCTCATTTTGTCAAAGTAAATCATGTCAGAGAAACCTGATTATATGTTAGGCAGGAGTCTCTAGATAAACTCCCGTATTTAATTTCCCCAAGATTAATTGTCAAGCCATACTCTTTCATCATATCTCCTAGCATGCTTTCAACGGAGGCGTAGAGGGGAAAAAAATATGACAGTGATATTTCATCGTGTACATCACTCCTCCCCCTGCATGCAGACTTTTGATCTGTCAGTACTTGAGATCAAACGTAATCCAAACGCTCCCAACATAAAAAATGAACACGTGACACTTAAATCAAGCTTTGTGCCGCCTCGTTGAAAACCATTACTGAAATCGTAAAAACAAATTTAATACGTTCCATTCATCTCTCCAGCATATGCCACGAATAATGATGCAAACAGCCAGCAACCCTGATGAAGGAAGAGTAAGAATAGAACCAGTAAGTAGATCTCCACTCTGATCTCATGCTCTGTCTTTGGCAAAATTAAATAAATATAAATGATGAATTGGGTTACAGACTTGTATTCTGTGGAAATATAGCCTAGGAAGTAGGGCTGTCACTTTACGTTCGAAAATCGATTGCACAATCGATCGGACCAACCAACACAAGTATCGAAAATGAAAATAGGGAATCGATTTTAACGGCCTTCTCTCCAGCTCGTCACGACACGACCGCAGCGAACGCACGTCACACAGACACTTTTTACAACAAAAATGTGAATTCTGCCAGTATTCAGACAGTCTCATGCATACAGATACAGATTCGGCCTACAATCGCCTACGTGGGCGAAATTTGTTTGACATTTCTAATCGTAAACACAGCCATATCGAAGCCTGCAGTAATGTTTTTCATTGATGTTATGGCAGTCCACTCTGCTTATAGTTTTTTGAGAATCTTGCACTCCTGTTTGTCATTGTGCACGAAACTTCATGCCAATAAATCATCAGAAATATTGCTGACTTGTCCGCGTCTCAAGCGCACTCTTTACGTTCGTCCTAATGCCTGTTATTTGTCCGTGGGTTTGCCTATATTTGGCGTTGAAAATGGAAACGTCTTTAGTCATGTAAAATCGATTTTACAATCGATTCAATGAACATTTATGTCTCAAAAATCGAGGATTTTTTCACAAAAGTGACAGCCCTACCTACTATAGGAAGATATTTTAAGAGCCAAGTCTTTCTCTCTTGCATGTGATGTAAATTGCATGCTATTAAATCTGTGGTTTTCCTAGCATGTGCACTCTGTGTGAGAGTCAGATGATAGGTTGAGGTGTAGTTAAATATTCCTTGTGGTTTTGGACGTGCTTCCCAATAGGTCGCAGTAATGGGGAAGAGTCCTGCTTCAGACAGACACTCAGATGCTCCTGATGCCCCGTCCTTTCTGCATGATCCGCATGACCTGCCCCTGAGCCCCATCAGCGAGGCCTCCAGTGGCTATTTCTCTACTAGTGTCTCCACTGCCACCCTTTCCGATGTCTCCATTGCTTGCGGGGACCTTACCCCTACTCCCAATACCCAAACTGGCCCCGTAGCATCCAGGCAAAGGGGAGACGACACTGAAGACTGTCTACCCACCCCTGTTAATGCCTCTGCTCCTGTAGAAGCTGGGCTAAGATCTGACAGGCATAGAAAAGAGGAAGATAGCCACAGGAATGGCGTCACCACCTCCCAGCAGGAAGTACAGCTAAACGCAAACCCTCCCCTGGTGATGAGTACCTCCATAGACAACCCTTTCTCCCTCCAGAAGGTCAAAGCCAATGAACTCAGGTCTTTCAGTAACATTCTTGGAGACGGTAGCGGGAAAGCAACCACAATGCAATCGGAGCAAACTAACAGCCTGGAAAAGCTGGAGATAACTTTTGAGGATGTAGAACCCAAGGAACTTGCTTGGCTCAAGGTGGGAGGGAGAGTCACTGTAGGAACCAGTAAGTCTGGCACGGTCCGCTACATTGGGCCAACGCACTTCTCTGAGGGCGTCTGGGTCGGCGTTGAGCTGGACACTCCCTCAGGTTAGTCAAATTTTCCATTATCTGACAAGTTTTCTGAGAGGTTGACACCTTGGTGAGGCTGATTTACAGACTTGTTCCTCTTGTGGTCTGATGCTCTAAAGTCTCGATCCGAGAACAGATTAATTTCTCCAGATTCAAATGGCCTTTTAAGGCCTGCTGGGTGACATTAGCAACTAGTCATTCTTAAAGTATTAATTAAAAGGTAACAGATTGATAAGTCTTAGCTATGTTTGTTTTAATAAAATTCTATTTTAGCAGTAAGACTCAAAATGCTTGTGGTAATTTGATGTAACACATATTAGGTTCAAACCAAATGAACCTGGTCAAATAACAGAAGACTTGACTTGATTTCTCCTTTCTAGTGACAAGTTTTCTGAGATGCTGACACCACCTTGGTTAAACTGATTCACAGACCTTGTTCCTCTTGTATCCATCAGGTAAGAACGATGGTTCCATTGAGGGCCAGCAGTACTTCCGATGCAACCCTGGTTACGGGGTGCTAGTCCGTCCAGATCGGCTGACTCGAAGGGAAACTTCCAAAAGACACACCGAAAATCGGCGCAGCGGAGAGTTTAGTCAGCAACTGAGGGGAGGAGCCGGCACTGCCATTCAAAAAGGAGAGAATCGCAAATCCTGGACCAGCTAATTGACAATGAGCTGAGCAGGACCGAACATCCACAGCTGAGCTACACCTCCAACATCGCAATCTAACGGGGGAGGTCACCTCTATCCATCAGTGTTCTTGGGCTTTGCATGGAGGTGGTACAACGTTCCCTTACAAACTTCTCTATCAGTTTCGGTGCTATGCTTAATGTGTAGCATGTGGGAGTGCTATGAATTTTAACAAGCTGCTTCAGCTATGTTCCTTGGGATTTGTTGGTTTGGTAACTCAAGCAAGCCTCCTTGAGGTGACCGTAAATGAATCTTCCAGGTCTTTGGGATCAACCCATCATTCTTCTTGTTTGTGCCCTGGTTTTATCAAGAGTCCATTTTTGGACTTGATAGTGCAGATTATGCTTGATTTATCTTCTTTGCGCAGTCAGTAATCGATTTGTAGTTTCCTGAATGTGCCTTTTTAAGTCGACCCATTTTTTGTTTGTCATCCCTCATTGCACCTTTGTAACACTAGTTAAAACGTGGTAAATGGTATGGTAGACATGTAAGAGATTATCTCAGGGATTCGATCAGACTTATTGGATATGTGTTCATCTCTTAGCCACTATCAAGAAAGGGGGGTTGCATTTATTTCAAGATGGGTGTTGCCCTGAGCAGGTCAATGCAGGTAATTGATGTCAGTACTACTATTACTTGGCCAGTGATTGGATGACTAAATTCACAAAATTGAATATTTTATTTGGTTTGGTGCCATTTGAAGGCTTGCCTATCAGTATTTAAGGGGGAAACTACCCGCTTGGTCTTTATCCTTGATTGCACATGGAGAGTTTTTAGACTCGACTGAATTGGCACATTCAGGCTTAATTGACTGGCCTAATTAGTCACTCTCTTAATGGTTTTAATGATTGGACTGGGGAAAAAAAAAGTATTTTAGAGGGCTTATTTACAATCTGATGGGTTAGGGCACGTTTTAGTAAGCGGCCTTTTAATTGGAACTGGGTTATTGAAACTACTTCAACATACAATTACTTTGTGCTGCAATTTAGTGACAATTTAATGTAGCTCCATTTGATTGGTTTCTAAAGGACTGTCTTCCACAAGAAGGTCACGGTAAAAGCACATTCCAGTTTTGTGTATTGGACCAACCCTGGCAATACCTACATCTTATTTATTCAAATAAAAAGATCTAAAAGTGATTTCATTAAATATTTTTAGCATACTGTATGAGCAAAGTTGGCACATTTATATCATTTTTAATTAGGAGCATGATTCCACACAGTTATGATACTCGTGATGGAGAGAAAAGACGTGTTATTTCGTTCCTTTTATATTCTATTTTCGTGGAAATCCTCTTGTGATTTCTGAAGTCAAATGCAATATCAAATTATTAAATAAAATATATTTTAATGGTTGTAGGTATGTATATTGAATTTATAAAGTGTAAAAATCCAATGAATGGGAAATTAATTTGCACATTTGATTTATACTAGATAGCTTATGTGCCCAAAGGGTACTTAGTTTTGTTGTAAATTAACTTAAACTAACCAATTATCCACTGTAAATCTGCTTTTCACTGGATTTGGTGCTCTAAAGTCAAAAGCATTTCAAAATTTAGATGAGATGATTTTTCAAGTTGCCTTTAATTTGTTTTCCTGTTGAGTGATGTCTTGATGTTTGTGGTCGGTCATAAAAAATGGGTTGAGATCTTCCCTTTTTTTTTTTTTGATTTGTGCCTCATTCATCATGAGAAAAAAACAAATGCACATATGGAGCATGACTGTTGCTGTGATTATCAACCCAGTGATTTTAACGTCTATCGGGTCACATTAGCAACTAGTCATTCTTGAGTATTAATTTAAAGGTTATACAAGAACAGATTGTTTGCCTTTGGAATGACAAGTCTCAACTATGTTTATTTTAATAGATTTTCTATTTTAGCAATAACACTCGAAATGCTTGTAGGAATTTGATGGTTCTTTGGTTTGAACCTAATTTGTTCCTTGTCACTAGAAAGGGGAAATGAACTTATTGAAGAACCTCAATGAGCTGATCTCCTTCCACGGCCCCACGTTTCAATCATAGAAACTTTCATCCTGGTGTATACTGGTGTACTAGGTGATTATTTTATTTTCAAGTGCATTTTTTAAACATTTTTATGATTAAAAATGTTAAATGCATTCTACATCCATTCTGGTTAAAGTATGTCTTCAGTAGCAATGACACCTTGATCTGTCATAAAGTGGCATAGATCCAGAGCCATATCCGAGCAACCACACAGTGGCCTTTTGAAGTCAAATACTAAATACAGTTGTGGATACTTGTGCTCTCCTCCTGTTTGAAACCCGTCCCGTTGATGGCACCTGGAGAAAAAGGGTTTGAAGGAAATTTTGGGCCCTGCTGTTTACACAGATGTCAGACGAAGCTCTTGGCAGGAAGTTGCTGCTCTACTTTTGTACCCCCCTCCCCCCTCTCTCTCTTTCTGATCAGTGAGTGTACGGCTCCATCTTTCACCACTAGTCTGTGCCTCGTCCTGAGGTTTGATGATTTTATGTCATGAAAGTTGTCCTGCAAATGGAGCTTTTGTCCCCGAGTATACGAGTGTATGTGTGTTTTGTATATAGTTGCATCTTGAGAGTTCAATCTGAGCACAAGGCTGGGTTTGATTAATTTAATTATCTGCAATTATATGCTGATATCCAAAGAATAATCATGTATAATAATTCATTTATAATTTTTTTTATATTGACTGTACAATAATCTGGCTGTAAAGGTAAAAATAAAAAGTGAATTGATTACACATGTTTTATCACTTTAGTTATTTTTGTTTTTTTGGTGGCCCCAGTTACTTGTCCTTGATGTGAAGATTAAAAATAACATGGTTCTTTTTACATGCAAACCAGGGGGTGGAGTCAGACATTGTAAATATTTGGGGATTAGCCCATATCTAGTTGATCCAGGGACATTTTCACCACATTTATGGCAGCTACAGACAAACCAAAAATTATTCAGACACCAGATATATTTTTTTACTAGTGGGTGCAAGACACTATAGTTCATTTATGTAATTTATGATAGCAAAATAAAGTAAACTGTGACATATTATACCCCAAAAAAATCTTCATAGAGTGGACTACTAGTAAAATTTATAAAAAATATTCAGACACTTTTACCTGACCATGTTTTGCTTAAATGTTTTTTTCTTTAAGCTGCCGTCGGCAACATTTTTTTTATCATATTCAGTGAAATCGACACTATAATCCGACAGAAAAACATAAAGTGGTTTTAGAAAAAAGCTTCTAACTCCACCATAGACAGTAAAAGAAATGGACACAGCGACCCCATAGACTTCAACCATAGACAGTATAAGAAATGGACAGAGCCATCTCATTGGAACTCAGTTGAGGCAGTTGAAGCCCATTTTTAGCGATTTTTGAGCACTTCCGTTCCTGACGCGCAGACTCAAACCGACTCAAACTGACTCAAACTAAGCTTGATGACGTGAGCAACCTGTCTGACAGACGCAAATCTTCTAGTACCTGTGCCAAGAGGAATCTGAATCATTCCCTTCCGAAACTTGCAGAGCCGGAGATCGTGAGTATTAGCTGTCCTTGAGCTAGCAGCAGGAGCAACTTTACAACTCTCTATGGGCTTCTCCCTTGACTTTATGCCTCCACGTCCCCCCGATTCCGCGCGAGTTTCTACTTCTGTCTATACGGTAATTTTCTCTAGTATGCGCCAGAGAGTCGCATGTTATGACGCAATCGTTAGCCTATTTTTACAAAAACGGCTTCTACGGGGTCATAACGTAAGATACAAAGTAATGGAGCCTTTTATACATTGTCGTGTTTCTTTAGAAATAAATAATGGACAAATGGAGTCTTTTAACGCCTCAGATGTAAAGTTATTCGCTGTCAAAGTGACGCCAAAATGAATGGGAGTCAATGGAAATGCTAACGCAAGTGAAGTTCTGCTACAAGATGGCGGCACCCGGCCGGCTTCAACTTCCGGTCGATGGATTACCCCCTTGGCTTCAACGGAGAAAAGTGAAGTCAATTAGAAGCACTCACTTCCTGATTGCCAAGCAAACTGCGCAGGCTCAAACTGAGCTTGACGACGTAGATGTGACGTGAGCAACTTGTACGTCTTCTAGTAGCTGTGCCAAGAGGAATCTGAATCATTCCCTTCCGAATCTTGCAGAGCCGGAGTTCGTGAGTATTAGCTGTCCATGAGCTAGCAGCAGGATCAACTTTACAACTCCCTATGGGCTTCTCCCTTGACTTTATGTCTCCACGTCCCCCCCCGATTGCCCGCGAGCTTCTACTTCTGTCTACACGGTAATTTCTCTACTGTGCGACAGAGAGTCGCGTGTTATGACGCAATCGTTAGCCTATTTTTACAAAAACGGCTTCTACGGGGCCATAACGTAAGATACAAGGTAGGGGTGGAGCCGAACCCGAATACGGTATTCGGAAAGGTACAAATAACGTGTTTTTTACGAATAGTTATTTCGAACAAATACTTGAAAAAATATTTGTATTCGGGAACAAGAAAAACTTTATATCAAAAAGCTGCGTTTCCTCACGAGACCGCAGTGCATGCACGGATGAGAGAGTGAGTGAGTGAGTGAGAGTGACGTTCAGGAAGAGGTGACTGACACAGGCTGCTCCACAGACACAGCAACAGAGAGGGCTCGGCTGAGCGAAAAAACACTTAACTGCATCACTATTTTTGTTGAATAGATTTTTGTACCTTAACTGGGTTCCGGAGGCAGTTTATAACTTTCGGGAAGCGGAGTTTGATCGGCAGATTATTCCATTACGCTGCATTATTGACGTCTGCAGTCGGATGCTCTCATGTTCGCTCTGTTTACGTAGCTCTGTTAGCTCGGTAATTTAGACAATAGGCTGTTGACAGAGTAACGTTAACGTTCGGTTAAAAAATGCTTGTGTAGTTGTCGAATTGTATGCACTTGTGGGAGTTATATGGTACGCAGACATCTAGGGCTGTGCGCAGAATATCGATACGACGATACATCGTCATGAACTCCTGACGATGCGCGTATCGATACAGCAACTGCTGGATCGATACTGTCGTGCTATTGAATGTAGCCAATTCAGGGCTCGAATTTCAGCGCGGAATTGCAAGTATTAGGCTACGCATTATTCTAACCATTCCCGCAGGTCTCCCACTTATAATGATTAATCCATACAGGTTATAACATCGAATTAGTCATTTTAAAATATTCGAGACACAATTTCACAAACAGCGTGAGTGTTCAGCTGTGCCGCGTCTTCTGTCTCTGTCTCTCAAAATGGGTTGCTCAAGGCAAGCGTCAAACGCGCTGAAGGCGGCGATACACTCTCGCTTTCGGGAGTTGGGACATGACGGAATATTCACTTGCA